TCTTTAGCTCGAGCATTAACATCATCATCAACAAAAGATGATATATTTATGTTTTTTGGTGCTGATGTAACCCATACAACATGTTCGAGAGATAAACCATCAATAGCAGCTGTTATTGGTTCAGTTGATTCTACGAGTTTGTTGATTTTGTAATTAAAAAAAACAAAAATTTAGACAAAAATGAATAAATTTTTTTTTTAGGTACACAATATGCATCACGTGTTGGTGAACAATATCCAGCACGTGGAAAAATTTCATTAGAAATAATCAAAGATTTATATCAAATGTCAACAGATTTATTAAAATTATTTGCACAAAGAAATGGATGTTTTCCGAATAAAATTGTATTTTATCGTGATGGTAAAATATTTGTTACTCGATAAAATGAAAATAAAAAAAAAAAAAGAAAATTGATTTTTAATTTATTTTATCTATTAGGAGTTGATGATGGACATTTTCAAAAAGTACTTGATCATGAAATCCGAGCCTTACAAAATGCTTGTAAAGGTATTTTATTGCTACAAAGTCATATATTTTCGAAAGTAAATTCCTTATTTTAGCACTTTATATGAATAATCCATTACCAAAAATAACATTTATTATTGTTAAAAAACGTCATAATACAAGATTTTTTGTTCGAGATCCTAATACAGGAAATTTTAATAATGTTCAACCAGGTAGATTTTATTTTTTAATAGGAATTTAAATGGATATTCGTTTTTTTCATTTAGGTACTATTGTTGATACTGATATTGTTCATCCACAAGGTTTTGATTTTTATTTAAATAGTCATGCAGCTCTTCAAGGTAAATTTTAATATCGAATATTTTTAAGAGTTCAACCTTTTTTTTGTTTTGTTTAAGGAACATCACGACCAATTTTATATCATGTTTTATATGATGATATTGGTTTTTCATCTGATGAAATACAATCTTTAACATATTATCTTTGTCATTCTGATGTTCGTTGTACAAAAGCTGTATCAATACCAGCACCTGTTCATTATGCACATTTAGCTGCATATCAATCACGTGATGCTGACAGTTATGACAATGATCGAAGGAGCACAATGGGAGGGTAAGAGTTTCTTTTTTTGTTCTTGGAATTTTTATGAATACGAAAAAGAGAACAAAACATGAGTTGTTCTTTTTTTTTTAGAGATTTTGATGATGATGATGATCTAATACAAAATATGGGTTCAATAACATTACAAGAAGTAGAAACAAGACTTATTCAACTTGATCCGTCTATTCAAGATACAATGTGGTATGTGTGAAGATAACAGTGATATTTAATATTGTACGGAAATCAATAAAAAAAATGAATTAATTTTGTGATAAATAAATAAAGTTTATTATTATATTTTATTAAATATTGTAATGGTCTTCATCGGTTTTTAAATAAAGAAAATATTTCTATTTTGTTTTTT